CGGCAATTGTCTTTTGCAAGTAGACGCTAGCACGCAAGCACACACATATATATTCTATCACTTAGCATTTGAATTTGAATAGAATTCTTTGCTGTCTTACGCTCGAATTGTTTACGCATTTTCACATGACCACTTCGAGATCCCTATTAGCTAAGCAAATTTATTTTTCTCACCTACTTTTCGGCAACTAACGAATCAAAGCTCGTATACTAACTGTTTACACAGAACTGTCCTTGTTGCCCTGTGTGCTAGTCGCATGAACAAATTGAAAATTTTCTCATAAAATGTGTAAATAAAGAGAGGAGTAGACAAGGTGTGTGCGAGAATTTTTCGTAAATTGATTACAATGCTGACAACGCACGACAATTTACAATATATTCATGGAGATAAGCTCCTAAGAATACATGCAGTTGGCTTAGGTACACAATTGTAAATATTGCAATGCACTTTGAACGAAAGTAAAACCACATAAAATCAAGCACACTTTCAAAGAAATTTCATGAAAAGGTCTTGTCGAAAATCAAGAGGGCGGTTAACCCTCTACCGTGATTTAGTGACTAATTAGAAAAATGCTTCTTTCAGGTCGAAGTTGGATGAAACAAATTTTGAAGTATTTTTTGCCGGAAGAAAGTGCTCTTAATATACGATGTAAATGTTTGAGATATAACTCAAAGCTTCAATGTTAGCTAAGAAACAAAATCGCCTCAATGCATCAGTGTGGTAACTCCATTTAGATCAGAGAAATGTTAAAGCTTGCAATTATAAATTCGATCGAAATCGGAAAAATACCCCCAAAAAAACCGCCTGTCAGGTCTAGGCTCTATCTCCTTAGGCGTTATGAGGCGATACCTAAATCCAACTGGGGTTAAAAATTCTCTATTCTGCCACAAAAGCATTGACGCAAAGAAAATCCGACCAAAGTTTGTGAATGATTTATGCTAAGCTTTACATATCGCGCAGATGTCGCGCTCTAAGATTCATCTTAATATAAACAGAAGAACAAGCCAAACGGGATGTGGTTGAAAAGCAAAGATTTCAGGCTGTATCTAAGGATTTATCTGAGTGTCGACTTGTTCACAGTTGCTACTCTAGAAGGCAATGCCATGATCTTTGGGAGCGGACAAGCTTTCTTTTCAATTTTTGGTTTTATGGCTATTAAGCTCTTTGCTCTTTTTTTCTGCAGAGATGTTACCAAACATCATCCTACGCGATTTTGCCGATTCTTAATTCATCCATCTGTCTTCTTTTCTGCCTTATTCCAATACTATGCTAACCAATTGCATTTTCACTGCATCGGTGACTCATAATGACTGCTGGCATTACAACAAGGACTTGAGAAAAATAAACCTCGTTCATTTATTCATGTGATCAAATTGCAGTTCCGACAGTTTATTGAAGCAGTGACCCAAACAAAACCACCCAATACGTGTACACCTCTAACAATAGACACACACACACACACACACCAAAGAATGTAGGTGTAAATATGTATATATGTATTCGTATTTTTCACTTGACCATCAGGTGTGCTCTTGGGGCGCTAAGCTCGTTTATGCCTTGTCTTCGTTTGGCATTGTCAAAATGTTAACATTTGAAAATGTCACAACAACAACACGAACGTTTTTGCCAAAATATTAGCAACAACGTCATTTTGTATGGGCATGTGCAAGCAGCACGTGCCACAAACAAACTACGATACACAAGCGAAGAAACAAAAGACTGGCATCAGGTGGAGCCACTGACAATTGCAGTGAGAAGTGGGTCAATTTGCAGCAGCAACAACAGCCAGTAGCAGCAGCAAAAACTGAAAATGACATAACTATGTCAAAATGCAGCTGTGCGCATCTGTGTGTGTGACCACATTTTTCTCAACTATCAACAGCTGACTGGTAATGTGCCAAGTTGCCTTTAAATTTGTTGCTTGCAATTTTTTTTCGGTTTTCCTGCATTTTGGCTATGGCGTATACGTAACCGGCTGCCATATGACTGCACCAACTGCCGTTATTTCGAATTGTATTCAATTGCATGCATTATGTTTACCGCCATACATTTATGCATGCGTGTGCTGCTTGTTGTTGGCAGACATTTGCACATTTCGGCCATTTTGTCGCATGACTATTTGCCAAGTGTGTGAAGCAATTTTCGCATTTCAAGTGACGCAAACAACTCGACGTGGGCGCTGCAAATTCACTTTATTAGTCGTAAACTTGCATAGTGTCAGGCGTAAATTGTTGCTGTCACTTGCAGTTGCAGGTGGATTGTTGTGGCAGTCACGCACACATGAATGTGCATAATAAACAAACACACCTATATAGCTATTTATATGAGCTTGTGCGTACTGTCGAAGTGGATCTTTACTTTATAATAATACATAAGTATATATACATATTTTCCCCATAATATTATATTTATGAGACTTCGGCCAGTGCTACTTACATTACTCTGATGACCATACATACATACATTCACATATTTTACATCGTCTACATTTATGAATGCTTAGCATCATATTCAATCAACTCATTCTTCGTCGCTCTGGTGCTTCATTTGCCTTTCGCCGTAGCTTCCTTCTACGGCAGCGTCGTTGTTATTGCATAATAAGTGCATCGCCATGCAGTCAGGTCCGAACTTGCTAAACTTTCACTACAGCTATTCTCCTTATTTTCTCGCTTTATGCCCATTACTCTTATTTACTTTGCTGGCAAGTGCTTACGCTTGGTGTTCCTTGCTACAAATTTGCTACTTGCATTTCTGCTTCACTTGCTTGCCGCCATTATTATTATTATTATTATTATCTTCGAATATGCTTATGACCTCACATATCAGACATAGCTACATAAATACTTCATTTCGTAGAAATTGTAACGGAGTATGATTTTATGTAGATTTAGAAATTTGGCAGAATTGTGAAGGTTTCAACAGCAGAGAATTTTGGCTTAGGGTATAAAATTATATGCTTTATGTTATTTTCTCTTTGGGCATGTACCGAAAATTTCAATTACTTAATGTTTAAATTTTAAATGAGTTGATATATAGTAGAACACATCGACATATCTCACTGCAGCGAAGTCGTCCTTGTTTCCACCGAATGCTTTGAGTTTGAACGTTATCACTCTCTGATATCTCTTGTGCCGGCCGAAATGTTAGTCCCAATCAGTCTTGTTGCGCTTATAAAGCGAAATTATTTTCTTATATATATTTAGTACATATATTATATCCATCACCCATCACATCTACTGGCTGGTATTCACAGAGACTTGGCATTTCAAGTGTGACACGAACGAATATATACTAGCTCTCAACGCAACTGGTCTTCAACTAACCATCTTAATCTGTAGTATTGAAATTTTCCAACAACAAGCTGCAGTGCAACCAACTAGTTTTGTAAAATTTTCAATTTTTGCAATCTTTCTTATGCAGCGCTGTCTGTTACCAACAAGAAAATGTCGGCATTGCAATCTAAAGAAACTTATTATGTGCAACAAAACCACGCTGATGAGTCGATGAAATGATTTATTAGAAGTTGTGCACATACAAATCTTCCATGACAAAGTGTACCGCAAATAACCTGTGGCATATGCGGCACGGTAGACAGGTCCACTGATTGCGCCGCAAAGTGTGACGTGTTGTGCAGAGCCGCCGACAAGTTGTAGATAGCGGTGATGAGTAGCTGTTTTGAGTTGAAGTGCTCAAGTGTTGAAGTTATGTGCATTATGGGCATGTGCTGTAAGATATGTATAGATATATGTATGTGGCAGTTGGGCGGCGTGTTGTGTGTAGCAAGTAACACAAGCGAAGTTAAATGCGTGGCAGCAGTTGAAGCGCCCACTCAGATTTGCATGACAGAAGACAGCAATTTGTAGCCGTTTTCAATGCGATGCGAGTGTGGCAAGCAAGTGTGGCACATGCAGTCTGTGCTGTGCACTTTCGTTGATTACTGCGCTGCCGCGTTTCTTTTATAATTGAATACTGAAATGGGATTTCATTAAAGCCTCTTTTCTTGTGCACCACCATCTACTTCCTTATCTCTTTAACTGGCACTGCTGTTCTTCCATGCAATGCACAAACCTTTTAAAAGCGGAATTGCATTTGCCTTGCTGAGTTCAGTTACCGTTTTTGTATTCGGCATGCCACACATACCCATGCTTAATATTTGTGTAAACATCACAGTTCATTAGATTCCCAATAGATATTACCTCTACACGCCGGCCTTTCCTCCCTTAACACGCTGCTTCCCATATTTACCACGAAATTTTCGTAAATAATGAGAATTTAATTAAATTTGCTTTGCTTTTTTTATATGCAACAGTTGCATGCAACTTTAACTCTGCCGTTGCCCAATTCTTTAGAGATTTAGTGTCTGCGAAAATGATAAATTTTCGTAAAATGTGCACCGTTACTTGGCAGATTTTTGCTAACTTCGATAAACTAACTCAACCGCTGCGGCTGGCATGCGTGTTGCATTTAGTATATATTTTAGCCGAGGTGTTAAAATTTATTTTATTTTCTTTATCAGCAACTATTAGTCGGCCATGCTTGTTTAGTAATGATTATAAATTATTGTGCAGGGATTTGTATAGCCATCATAACTGTAAATTTATCATAATGTTGCAGCATGCAAATTGCTGACCTTAAGTTCGTGCCACACAATTTGTTATAATAATTGGTAATAGTTTTTGAATACTAATTTTCTATGAAACATTGGAGATATTAAAAAGGCTCGTATTTAGACGTTTTGAGTTTATTTATAATGTGCCACAGACATTAGGGTGCAATGTAACACTCTTATAGCTTACTCGGTAGCATTAAAGTTGAGATTAAATTGTTATTGCGCTAAATTATTTATGCATTTTACACGAACCAGTCTATTTTACGTAATTATCTGTCCGTTTTAAGTTGAATCGGAAATCATCTAAATTCTAGAACTGGTATAAATTGGTATAAACTTGCGAAAGACGGTGAATTGTTTCATATTTCGTCAGTTACATTACAATCTCCGCTATATTTAAATTCTATACATTTTATTCCAAAATCGAATTACAAAACAGTTTTACAAAATACATTTAATAAAAGTTGATTTTTTATGAATGAGAAAGCACTTTTCGTTCTTTATAGTACCAATCTCTGCTGAAATCCTTTTTAGCCACACTTTCTTCTTACCCCCACCGTCGCAAAATATCAGCGTCGTCGTCGACGCTTTAGTCTAGGTGGTTCTATGAACCTAACGCGTGTAGGGCGTTTTACAAAGATCTTTCTGTCACTACTACCCGTAGAGTCTGCTTGATTTGACCATGAGCCGGGCGAATTGTCGGACTCGCCATATTCACGTAAACGCATTCTATAGACAATAATCTCGTTAGATCTTAAATTTATGCATATTATTCTTGCATAAACCCACCTGACCAAACTGGAGCTACGAACGACACCGATCGCTGCCTGCTTCTCATAGAGAATGACCAAGCAAATGCAGACAAGTAGTACGATGAAGAGAATGCTGAGTATGCCAAATGCGCCGATGTGAAAACCATGCTGTAAGAGAGTTTAACTAATAAAATATTGTATGCGACCTTTGAGAATCTCACCAAGCAGCATTCGATGCACTCGTACATTTCACGTGTTATGCCCAAACTGGCGAAGCGCAGATCTTCACAGCGTGGAAACTGCTCAAACAGCGGTTCAATTCGGCTCATAAGCTCACGCGCTAGCAACTCACTAATATTTTCGATCTTTTCCTGCAACAGTTGCTCCAACGTTTGACAGAAATCGGACAACTCTTGCGCCTCACGAAACACACGCTTAATCAATCGCGTTAGATTGTTGCCCGGTAAATGGGTGCGTAGATTGCCAGACTGCTGCGTGAGCTTGAATATGCTTGCAGCAATGTTGCGTTTGAAGAGTTGTTCGAAAATGTAATCTCTAACCGTATTTAAGTTACAAGCGAGCAGTTCCTGTTGGCTATTTCTGTGCTCAGAACTTGGCTCAGCTATGTTATAGGTGTGCAACGTATTGTATAATTCATACCAGCTTTCCAAGTTCAACTCTTGCCTCACAACTTCAAACATGGCGCCAGATCGGAAGACCTTTTCGAAGAAAGGCAACTTCTGGTTGAGCTCTTGGGTCCACAGTTGTGTTTCTGGCTTGTTGTTGTAGTCGAATATGCTGCCACAAAAATTTTTTATCGAATAGCTTGCGAGTGAGAGTCTTAGATTGTGCTTGGCAGGTCCTGTAGAACGCACTTGATTATGGAAGCTACAGTAATGAAACTTGGTTACATTGCAGAAATCTTCATTTTCAATGCTGAAATATAAGAAAGATTTATATTTGAATGAATTAGCCATAGGGTAAGTAAATATTTACAGCACTAACATTTCTCTGTGATAATTATAATAGACAACGCCATGCAAAAAGTGCCAGATTGCAAACAAGCAGAGGAATATCAAGCTAACCGAAATGGTGATAATGATGCTGTAAAGTATTCGAAAAGAGTATGCTTTAATAAAAAGCTGAGAGCTAAAAGTGTAGCCAAACAATCGAACTTCGGTTGTCTTCTGCTTGCTATATTCACCTACCTCATCAACAAATATCTGGTGATGGTGCGATTCCTCGTGCAAATGACAAAATCTCCAAGGTATACGCAGAGCAAAGCTAGTATGAATAGAGCTGCTATGCAATAGACCGCTTCAAGGTGACTTAGGTTGGGTGACAAAAAGAAGTCTGCGTTTGTGATCGTGTCACGATGAAGACGTGCAAGTTGTGTGAACTTTTTCTCATCGAGTGAGGTATACTCCAGCGCTAAGTATTACAGGGGAAATTTAAGTGAGAGCGGAGATATAAGGTAGCTACTTACTTTTCTTTGTCACGGTTGCATTCAGGTCTTTTCCAAGTATGTCAAACTCATTGTACATATTGGTCGTTAAGTTTTCACGCATAGCGTTCAGCGTTGAAGCGAAAAGGACTACTTCCAAGATTGTTATTAAAGTGTTATCGATGTTCAGGAGCTGGGAGAAAAATGAAAGAATTAGTAACACTAGAACATAAATAATCGAATTTTAGAAAAACTTGCTAACCTAAAACTATCCGTTACTTATATGATAAAATTTGGTTAAGTTTGACCAAGTTGAGTAACGGGTGGTAGGAATTACAGTAATTGATCGAACTAACTTGAAATGTGGTTCTGTTAGTTTTCAATAGTTTGAGTCACTGCAGCTTAAGTTTATATTATATAAGCTTTTTTGGACAAAATGTGGTTGGGTAGAGATTTACCAATTAACGGAAAACTTTGAAAAATATTTACTCGAGCAATGCTCGCTCTTTGGCCGATAATATAAAACGTTCAAGTGTTTTCGGACACAAAAATTCTTTTAATAAAGGTTTTTTTCGAGGGTTTGAAGAATTATAATAATATACTTCGGAAGCAAAATTTTTTCATTACCAGCACAATCTGTTGTTCATTGGCCTTAAATTCGTTAAACAGCAGCGTAGAATAATCATTGAAATTTACGTACTTCATATCCAATAACGTTGTGGTGTTACGATAGAAGAAACGGGAATCTAAGGAAAAGAGAGGAAAGCAATTGTAAAATTACTTAGGATAAATCAGATCGATTCGCTAAAGTAAGTGGCAGCAATGGGTAATTTTATGCTAAAGTAACAGATCTGAGTTCGCAGCTAGATGAAAATGCTGTGCTGTTATCTCTCTTTAAAGAAATATATGAAGTCCACCAGTAAAGAAAAAAAAAATAATAATAATTATAGAATAACGATTTACACCTATATTTGTCTGAGTTTGTATTTGAATCGAATAGATACTTTAATGATCTGCTAACTTCATAAAAGATAGCAGTGGTAGACAGATTGCGGTTTCAAGTACGAATAAACTAGTTTACTAAGGTCTTTACTTACGATCACTTAGTTGCATGACGTCCGCTATAAGATTATGGAGCTCCGCCTGCATTTTTTGTATGAGCGGTATTAGATCTAAACTTTTAATGGAAAGTTTTCCCAAAATACTGCGTTCGCCCTTTTGTATGACCTTCGGAGCAACGGTCTCCATCTGTGTAGCTAAATCTACAGATGGCAGAAATTAAGAATAATAAAAATAATTTTATATATAGCATTCGGAAAATAATACTTACTTTTTGAAAAATTCTTCACTTCACTTCTTATGTGATCTAAGTGTTGCACGGACAATGACTCAACTTGGAGAGGTGGAATATATTTTTCGAAAAACCCGCTAAGGCGCAAATTTTCAACATTGGCATCAGCAGTGCCGTTATGTAGAGTTTCTGTTGAGGTATAAGATTCAAATGCAAGCCACAGAAAAAAGCTGTGCAATCGAAATATAAGTTGTTATTTAGTTTGAAACTGTAGGTAGAGGAAAATAGCACGTACATGTATGGCAAAACTAGAAAGAAGAGTGTAATAGAGAGCGTTAAACGCAAGTAACGCTCAAATGAATTTTCGGCACGATAAGTTTTCTGATGCACACACTCGTAAAGAAACCAGGTTAGGCTAAAAGTAATTAGCTTGCATTAGTGAGGAATGAAAGATTATTTTTGTTACTTGACACACCCTAATACAGTCATAATTATGGAGGTGCAAAGAAAACCGATTAAAGCGGGAAACTCTCGCAGTTCATTTTGCCAATCCGAATGTAGGAGTAAACGCGCGAATCCATGACAGTCAAAATATCCTGCGGCAGATAATGGTTGTGTTAGTAGCGTTAAGCATTGTATGGTATACACACATACATATCTAGTAACTTTTTTAACAAACCTTCCATTAACTCCTGCGGTATACGCATGGAGTAAAAAGACGCTGACGCATTGACAATTTTACCCACGATTTCGGGCAGTGGACATTGAAAGGCGTCGCTGGTTATATTCATTAATTATTTAAGGCGCTCAATGCGCATTACTTTCAAAAACAGATTTATACTTTTTATAGTTTCTTCAATTTAACACGATATTTTTTAAGTTTTTCTATAAAAAATAACTTTCAACGCGAAATTTAGCTCTTAAATCTATAAAATATTTTTTTTTTTACGAAACTAAAAAATTTTTTTCATATTTGAAAGAACGTTTTGACAGTATAAATGATTGATTTGAATATAGAAGAACAGTGTTGGAGAGAAAGTAAATTTCGTAGGTCTTGTCCACAGTATTGTGTTGTCTTTTGCTTATTCAGACTTCTTAAGCTTAAAAAAAAGAAAGCAAAAATGTTTGGTTTGGAGTCTTCGGACCGATTAAAGTTTTATGACTGTTACTATATTTGTGAAACATAAGCAATTTCGCGTTATTTATTTTAGAATATATATAAGTACATATCTGGGTCTTAAACTAGACAACCACCAATTTGCTGTTGGAGTAATTTTTTTCGTTAAGCAAGCTCAGCCTCGCTGGATTCCTCGGACGTTGTAGTACTACTGCTTACTTTGACCTCTGCTGTTGGTGTTACACTCGGCGCCGAACTTAAAATCGAATAAATTAAATCTCTAATTTTCGCTGTACTGGAACGCTGTGCACTTGACACCTTATTCGTATCGCTAGACGTTGATGGCGTCTTAAAGGTGACATGTGCTCGTCTGAGCCGCGAGCCAAATTTATCTCGCCAATTATTTTGCGGTGGACTCGGTTCGTTTACGGGTTCATTGACCGGGCCAGCGTCACTGGCTGCCGTTGTGCTGCTGGTATGCGATGTACTGTCATCGGGTGGTGTTGATCTATATAGCATGGGTAGAAATTATATTAATATTATTTTCAAGTTTTAAGTCCAACTTACCTACTACTTGCGCCACTTTGTGTCGAATAAGGATATCTGTCGTAAAGGTATGCGAGCAGCATGCAGATGATCAGTATCGGAAATAGTAGTATGAGTATGCTGAAAGCGCCAATCCAGAAACCGTGCTGTAAAATGTTTACAGTTTATAACTTGCCAAATTTAGTTCAAACCATACTTTACCAAACAACTCTCAATGCATTCGTACAGCTGTCGCGGTATACCCACACTTGACAATTTGAAATCTCTACAAGTCGGCATAAAGCCGACATGACTCGTATATAACATCATTTCCAAATCATAATCCATTAGAAGCTGCTTCATTTCATTATTGAGCAATTCCTTAAATTCCAACTCGAAGTAATCATGCAATATACGCATCTCGTTGAGACATTTCCGCAGGAGAGTACTCAAATTTACCGCCGGCAGTTGTGCGGCAAGGCGTTCCGCTTTCTTTGATAGTACGTTTACATTATTAACTATATTCTTCGCAATTAACGTTTCGAAGACGTGCGTTTTCATTAAATTCAAGTTGCACGCCAGCATTCGCTCGTAGTACGCCAAGTTATTGCCCCTGGTCGCCTCGGCCACAGTGTATATGTGCGTGCTCAGCTGTTCACAGGCCGTATACCAATTTTCCAAATTCATCTCTTGTTTCACAACATTAAACATGTGGCCCGAATTGAAGACGGTTCCAGTGCTATCCGCATACTGCAACATTTGCAGAATATTCGAAATCCCCGCGACGCTAGGTAGGGTTGTACGAAGTGCCTCGAAAACACGCTGATTTTGAAGTTGCATAGCATTGTATATCTCTGCATCTGGGCCAAAAGCGCTCTCAGCGAATAAACTGAGAATTCTATTTTGAGCATCGCAATATGATTTGGAGCTCGAGCCGCAGGGGTTATCCAGTGTGGTACTTTTTAGAGAAATTTATATATGTAAGTACTTTCTTTTTTTGCTTAAGCAGACAGCTACTTACGTATCTTGCCTGAAATTGAAAAACGATGTACCCAGAAAGAAGCTTAGACTTGCTATTAGACAGAGCACTATGGACGTAATACAGATGAAAACAACGATACTGCAATGAAATGATTAAGCAAGATATATACATTATGTTAACTTGTGGTAGTGTTAAGGAAATATGTGTTCGATTTTAAAGTCTTTGATTTTTTCAGGAATATTAATTGGTCGGTATGTTAGTATAGTATTGCTCGGCGCTTAAACTGAAGAATCTCACCCACCTCACAAGAATATATTTTTTCTTCTTGAAGCGCATGAAAACCGCATGGTACACAGCATAACATAGTTGCATCCAGCATAAAACAGATATCTGTGAAATTATTATATTATGGTTATTATTATTATATAGATACTGAAGAAGTCTGATTTTGGAAAGCTTTCACCATGTCTGCTATACTCACCATTATAGCGATGATTAGAAAAAATAATTGATATGAATAGATATCATTTGGTAAATGTATCATAACATCTCGTGGTACTTCTGTTCGAAGTTTCTTTACTGCCTTGATAATTTCCAAATAATTGGCATTCATTTCAGTTACTGTAATAGGTTCGAAAAATATGAAACTTGATTCACGTTTTCATGAAATCATTAATTCACCTTTTTCCGCCCACATATTTGTGAACACCGATTCGTAATAATTATGTAAGTCCTTTAAGCTTTTCGCAAAAGCTTGCGACAAACTTGGCAACTCTATTGACATGGCAACAATGTCTTTTATGTTGGATAATACGCGCTCGATATTGAGTAGCTGAGAAGAGAGAAATCAAAAGAGCTAAAGTTTTTGTTGTGATGAGTGGTAAAAATATATTATAAGTTTTCTCTCTATTATAGACATTTGAGAGTATTTATGATGAAACTTTGTATTTGTATTGTATTTACCGCATCAATTTTGTATTCATTTCCGTTGAGCTCATTGTAAACAAGATTCATATAAGTTGCGTCCGATATATTGCTCATAAGCAAAAATGTCGTGGTATTCCGATAGAAAAATCTCGTAACTGCAAAAATTTCTAGTACTTGAAAAGTATCATAGCCCTATTAATCGATCTTACGGTCTGTTAACTGCATAATGTCTGCCAGTAAGGTCTGCATATCCTTGCGTATGTCCTCTATGATTGGCTGTATAACTAGGCTGTCTGAGTAGATGTCCATGAGATTACTACTAGCGGGGTTCTTTACTATTTCCGGCGCTGAGGAATTGAGGCTGGTTAGCATTTCTGCAATAAATGTCTAAAACTTAATACGGTCATTGTATTGCTTTTGATCTAAATACTTACCGTCTGCCAACTTTTTCATAAAGTCTTGTACGACTTCGATATTTTCCGTCGATATATGATCGATGACATCTAAAGTCTGATCGTAGAGTATTTTCACCATATTAACATTATTCTCTGGTTCGCGATAACTTCTCGTCGGATGATTTTGATAAGAGGTATAAGTAAACCATATAAAAAAGCTAAACACAAAATAAGAGATAGTGAAACAAGTCCTATTTGTTAAGGTATACTTGTGCATATAAAGTACAGTCACCTGTAAAGAATTTTCAGTAAAAAGAGCAATGTCGAGAGTATATAGCGCCATGAAGGTACGGGAGCTCTTTCAAAGCGTCGCGCTCTCTTTGGCCGAAATTGAAAGATGCACCAGATCAGGCATAAAATTGGCAGTAGCGCTACATAAATGAGAACTCCAATCAACCAAGGAAACTGTACAATATAATCACGCCAATCGTTGTTAAGCAGCTTGTAGCCTAAGCCTGTGCAGTTCATGTATTCTATAATATGGATTAGATTAGAAAGCAAAGTTATAAACTTCAGCACTGCTTGAATACATGCCTTGTGTGAGGCTTCTTGGCAGGCTTAAAGATTCTTTGGTCGCAAAAGCCTGTATGATGGCCCGTATCGAGATGGGCAGTCCACAGATGTCCACGCTTGTATAGGGGACAACTGGCAATGTTTTGAATTCGGATAATTTCATTATAGGCAACTGGCTATTTACACACAATTTTGAAACTTCGTTAGTAAAATGTTTTTGCAATTAGATCTTTAAAACAAAAAAAAAAAAAAGGTTTAGATAATAGGGTTTGTGTAAAGTTTCTTTCAAAAAAAAAAAAACAATATAATTTTCAAAATACACGCCAATTTTTAAGAAAATGATAGTTCATAGTAGAAAATATTTGAAGTACATATTTGACTTTTTATTACGAAAGAAATATCTAAATGACAGCTACGACGATAACAAATAATATGGGTGTTCTAAATAACAAATTACAAAATTTCATAATTATTTCTTTTCCAATTTGCGCGGCGGTGGATATGTGACTAACGGTTGACGATCCTTGGGTCCTTGGAAAACCATTACGGTTACTGTTTTGTCATTTGTTCTGCCACCACCTACTAATTGCGCTTCTGCACCGACGCAGCTCGTTTGTGTTCTACTGCGACAAGGCAAGGGCAAAATAACGCCATCTTTTTGATTGCTATCGCACATCTGTGTTGAGTTATGTTGACAGGTTGTTGCACACATCTGTGGTGAATTTCGTTGACAACTTCCTGCACTAATTTGCGCCGAGCTCTGTTGACAGTTTGTTGGATATATCGTCGATGGATTCTGTTGACAGCCAAAAGTACCCATCACTGGCGGTATAAAGTTTACGGTATTAATGAGCGGTATACCGTGCTGCGCTCCAGCACAGTTTGCACCCGTTTGGGGACGTTGCGATATGATTTCGCTATTTATATGGACAGCACAATCTTTGCCATCCATTGTAGATTGCGCAAGAGTTCCTGCAGCTGCTAGTGGAGCACGCAAACACCCGTCTGGTTTCGGTGGTTGAGGGCAGCCAAAAATGGGTGGTCCGCGTTTATAGAGTTTGTATAGCAAAAGGCTAAGTAACATCGCAAAAAATAGTGTGAATACTAGCAAGGCACTGCCGATAGCGTAGATCATCTAGAAAGGTTGCAAAGCTTATTATTTCAAGCTAATAACTGTATTGGCAAACATCTCATACCAGTAAATCTTCCAAACAACCGCATTTTGACGACTGATTCGTTGCACTACGTTGACTAGAGTAGCAGGGTGCGGACCAATGTAAAGTATTGCTGTTTTTTCTCAACTTTTTATCCAACTTTTCACGCAATGTAGCCAAAAAATTGTCTTTCGACAGCGCATAAAACTTTTCGAAAACAACCAACTCACTTTGAGCACTTTCTAAACATTTTATAAAGCTCTCATAACCATTCGTCTGTGCACGCTTCTTAAACTTGCTTAGCACTTCGTAGAATTCTGTAGCGATAGGTATAAATACTTTGTCATACAAATCTATCTTCAGGGCATTTGATATAGAATTCAGTTTGCATGAGAATATATCAGTGCCAGTTGTATTCTCTTTGATGTAGCTTTCGTAGCTTGAATAGTCTTCGTTAATTATGAGACCTTGTACGTCGTTTTCGTACCACTTCTCTTGCGGCAAGTCCACTACATACTTTTGGTTATTTGTGTAATTGTTTTGAAAAATATTTGACCTTGGTAGCATGCGCTCGACTTTCGTTAAAATATTATCACGCATTTGCTCAGCGGCTGACAGTTCCTTGTTTTCATTGTCGAAAGCTTCGTTGGCATCGATATTATCAATTGGATCACAGCGCCGAGACTCAGCGGTGCGATAAGATCTTCCGATTTGAGTTGCCGAAAAGAGGTGAAGGCAAAGCAGGAATTAATATTGAAATAATTATTTAAAAGTAAGATCATCCATACCGAAAACCACTCTGATGACAAATTCCTGTATGCAACACCATGGTGGGCAGAAAATGTAGGACTGTTAAAAAGGCTAGCATAGGTATGGTCAATATATTGAGAAAAAGAAAGCTGAAAGATAAAATTACAGTTATACCTATTGTAATCATGACAGACAATATTCATATGTTCTAGTATACACACATTTTAAGCATGCAAATGGCTCGCGCATAGTAACGGCAAATGCCGAATCCGAGTGCCATAAGTAAAATGTAAGCAAGCTGTGGTGAGTGAAAACTTAGCAGCAAATTTAGAATATTTTATTTCTATATACTCACGGCAGCTGTTGCAAAAAACATAGTCATCGCTACATACAGAATAGGACTAAGGATTTTTGGATTTTCCGTCGATGATCTATCGTACATGTATTTCTTTGGAAGTTGCCGTAAACTGGGCGCTAGCAAAGTAATAAGAAATATATGAAATAAATTATTTTAGTACTTTGACTTTGACTTACTCGCGAATAAACTGTTTTCACTCACAGCTGCGGTCGCTGTGCTGCCAGCTATCGATTCTTGTAGATGTGAGATATTCTCATATGACTTCAATAAGTACTCCAAATATTCATATGCGTGCAAGTACTGCGAGTAGACTGCATTTAACTATTTTTCAAGAACAATTTAGCGTGATTTAAGCTCAAACTGTATTGATTTTTCACTGAAAATCTAACCACTTACATGCCGCACATTTATACGCTCTGTTTTCAGCATTGCGCTTTCTATTAAGGACGCATTATTGACGTTTGCTTGTAGAAATACGAAGGCTTCTCGCAAAACTATGCGCAGTACTGTAAAATTTAACAAAACGAATTAAATAACTGGCGAGAAATATATTATAAACTGTGTGAGAACTACAGGCATGAATTGCTTTGTGAGTGAAAAAGTGATATCTCCTAAAAGTATGCATGCATAGATTTCACAAGCTCATGTAGGCAATGCATTATTAATAACTTTTACTTACAATCATCCATTTCCAAGCCGAGTATTACCAACTCATAAGCGAAGTCTTTTAATAACTTGAGAGAAGTTGAATAAAAATCTCGATTACTATACAAATATTTGAGTTGTTCAAAGTCCTTCTGCTCATTTTGGGCTATTATTTGCTGCCAATTAGCGAATTCTGGAGGAGAAATAAAAATTTAAGTACAAAATTGAAATAAAATATTTTATCAAGGTTGACTAAAAACTTACCTTTACTTATCGTTATATTGGTTTCTATAAAAAGTTGTGTGGGACTAGCTTCATATTCAGTTTGAGTCAAAAAATTTGCATGCTCATCGTCCAATGCTGATGATCTAGCTGTATCCATTAATTTTTTCGAATCGTCTTTGGTTCTGCGTAGCAAATAATTCGTGCGAAAAGTCAAATACAAACCAATTCTGTAAGAAAAATAGTGCATTATGGCATTCTATAAATTTGAATACAAAATATGTACGCAAGTGGCAACAATAACAGCAACAACATGAGCGTGGTAAAGCAAAGACAGCAACGATGGCTCTTCCTTCTAGATTTTTGTAGACCTCTGACAGTACAGCATAGCCAAAAGAGCCTAAAAATTAATTGTTAAATAATAATAATTGATATCGGCTAAGTGTTAATATTAGTATTATAAAAAGAAACAAATTTATATCTTTGGAAATTTTCGAAAATCTTCGAAACGCTGTAAAATGTTCATTATTGCTTAATACAAGGTGCAAGGAACCATTCAATAAATTAGTAATAATCATTCGAAATTTTCGGAGCAATTCACAGTCAGTTAGTTGCCTATACACTTGTATTGAAGCTTTATACAAACTTTTCAATAATGAAGTATTTTTTTATGAAAATCACAAATTTTCTCACCAAATAAGCGTCGTGAACGCCGCAATGACTAATAATGCGATCAGCAATGGAAACTTCGCCAGCAACTCAAACCAATCATGCTTTGCGACACGCGGTCCAAAGTCACCATTCTCAACATAACCCTCTGGTAGCTCTGTAAGCGCAAATGCATTGAAAGCCCAACCGGAGAGGCGCATAAAAAACTTCGCTACACCACAATCGTCATCATAATGATATTCGGGATAAAAAACCATATTTTTTTACGCGCAAATTTTTACAATGCCAAGATACACTTCAAATTTTTTTTTTTTAGAAAACGAACACAAATTTAAAAGTAAGATAAAAAATGTTTGTAAACAAATTTCAAAGGGAAAAATTTTGTTAAGAATTACAATTTGATTGCATAATGTAAAAAGGAATCTAGTTGCCATGTAGGTAAAAAAAAAATGTGAAATCAGCTTGTGTAAAGAATATTTCAGTAGTAAAAATGGTTCGGCTTTAGAATAACGTCTCAGAATTTCGGTAATAAAATGGGTATGGGTAGAAGAGATTCTCCAGATCACGAATATATGTAGGTAAATCCGTAATAATATTTGTGTATCTATTTGATCTTAAATAAAATAAAATTATTATAATCAGGTAAAAAAACAGAGTTTTGAGCGTTTCGTTTGAACTGCGAGCTATTCTCAGTTTCAACAGATCTATTATAGTCTTCTTCATTAAACCATAATAGATGTGATAGATCTGGGATGGTCTTATAAAAAATAAGACTAAGTAGCAATATATTTGTAGTACCTGGCAAACCAAGAGCTTCTCGGAAGTTTTTGCTTCCCAGCTTAGACAAGCGCTTACAGTCTTAAAAAGGTCTTTACTAGTAATAAGGTTTTGATATAAACAAACAAATGCGGGTTAGCGTGGTGACTATGTTTTGTACTTCAAGTTGCTTCAGCATTTTATTAGAATTGAAATAAAACTTGCTTGCAGACACTGAAGACCACAATCAAGCTCTTCTGTGTTTGTGTTTCACCTGATTACTGGTAAGAAGTGCTAATAAAACACTACAACATCTCAGAAGTGAAGGCATCACTTCAAATTATTTAAAATTCAAAATACCCCCAAAATCCCCAAATCAATTCTAAATAATAACTTATAGTAAGTAAAAAAAATTAATCAGATTGCGAGGAGATTGTCTCCACCTACTAACACACATGCATAAACAGAGCACCATGTATCACACAATCGCTCTAGTTTCCATAATTATGGTTTACGGTCTATATGCATATGCTGCGTTTTGCCAGAAGTTCAACTTATGCGACCGCTCTCTTTCCAAAGACACACCGTCTGAGCTTAAAATATCGAAATTGCACTATAATTATCCGACTTGCTACTTATATTATAATTTCCGGTCAAGCGCTGGATTTTATGCGAAAATTGAAAATTATACAGCAGAAAGACGAAAGATTTTTTTGTTTTTGTTATTATTATTTGCTTTCTTGCATTTTTATTGTTGCTGCCTGCCAAACGTTTACCGCTTGGTTCTACAGCTGTGTCCGTTGGCAATTGCACGCTTGGCATGAGCCAGCACAGCGCCGCTTAAGCGAGCGCGCCCACTTCGCACGCCCCGACGCGGTGTAGTTAAGCGCAATGTGGCAGCAACAATGACATTCGACGGTTCATTGCTTCTGCGTTGAGGTTAACGAACAATTGACTGGTCAATGGGGCGGCAGACTGGCTGCTTCTGATGTTTGTGTCGATTCACTATCGGCGCATTGATACTTTTCTAGCTGCCGAGTGGTACAAGCATGTTGTAAAATAGTGAAAAAAAAAATCGCAGAATTTGCACGTTGCAAGCAATTGCAATAAAGTATTGGGTGGATGTGGTCAACTGGAAGTGCGATAGATTGCAGGCGACTCCGAAAATCCATTACAGTTCAATAGCTAACACGCCCACACACATGCCATATACCACATGCCACATTCGCTGCCATGTTTGCATATTCGCATAGAACCGCATATTGCTGCTGATGTTGTGTGTCTGATTTCCAGCTGGTGCTGCATTGTTATGCCGCACTAACGGCAAGCGCAGGGAATTGGCAGCAACGCATGCAGACCATCAGTCGTCACCGGTGCTCGTCATTGGCAGCAGCACCACCTTGTGCAAAAATGCGTTCTTCATCCTCTCGACCTGGTTTGTTTGTGCGCATGCGCGCTTAACTCGTCAAACAATCGTCAGCACAGACACGCCATTGCATTGGCTATACCTCGCTATTGTTCTTGTTGTGTCTTTGTCAGTTTTTGCTCTTGTTAGACTTGTGCGGATATATTATTGTTTTTGCTGTTATTGTTCCCGTGGTTGTTGCTGTTGCTGTTGCTGTTACTGTTGTTTGCAGTTGTGTTGAGTTGATTAGACTTGTTCACTGACTTTCCCAAACCACCTTTCGACTTAAAGTCAATAAAAATAGATACGCTGTGCGTCCAGCGGTCAGTCGCGCTGATTGCTGTTTGTGAATGATTTGCGGTGACCACCGTTGTGATGTTGCCAGATCAGATGTAAGTAACTCTCTTTGCCTGAGTGTAATTAAGTCCTTATGGAGTGAACATAGCGGTCCTATGGCATTAACATAGATCACGTCTTCGAAATTTAACGTTCTGCGCACTTTGAGACCACTAATAGTGTTTAATTCAGATGGAAGCCTTGTTTTGAGAAATGCTGCTGTGTAGACAGTCTTTGGCCGGATAAAATCTGCAATCGTTCGTGTTACGTCGAACCAACTGTCGTGGTCAATATGGCCGACTATCTATTACTCATATATCTATACTCCTTTTGAGTGGGTTTCCACTTTTTATCTGTGACTTTTGGCGTCAGTTTAATCAGTTTGGTTAGGTTATGACGGTAGAAAAGTTTACATGCCAAAATTCATTTTAAGAGGGAGGAAACTAGGTAGTCTAAGTTTGGCAAAGTCCGCATTTTTCATGATCTGAACCTCTGCTGTTATCACGCCTATTTATACTCCATATAAACATAACTCCACATGAATGGAAACGCGAGCCAAGTACAAAATGCTTTAAAAATTACCTTCTCAGAGCTCGAGAATTAAGGAAAATGATATTTCCAGGTTATAAGGTTTTCCCTTCATACAAATAAATAGTTATAAAGACTCTGACTAGCGAAATGAAGAGGAAAGCAGCTTCGACACGTGGGCCTGCACTAAGTGGGTCACAGAATGAGCACGGAAGCATCCACTAACAATATGAAGAACAATTTTGCTTTCATATTCAAAGACTCTGGCAACTCTTGCTCCAACAACTTTTTCGCCTACCCACTACCAGTCAACAAACAGCGAAAATGTTGTTAACAACTGGTTAACTGACCGTCATGCACACTACAACACACATACACATATACACATACATATATTTATATAGACAATGCCATGCTTGGCGCTCGTAATCACTGTCGTTATAGCCAGTTGTTGCTGTTGTCACATTGTTAAGTGGATTTTCGTCGCCCATGAGTGGTGGCGTAGTTTTCATATTTATTTTTGATGTGATTTAGATTCGTTTAGACAGGTGAAAGGCTAAATTGTCAATTTGCAAAATGCAGTCAGCGGGACGACCAAACTAGTCAGCGAGCGCGCACAGGCAACAGTAAATAGAGAATAGAGTAAAAAAGCAACAACTACTAGGTGTAATTGCAGTGCAGCTTAAAAGTGGGTCGTCGCTCTTACACACACACACACACACACACACACTTACTTTTATAACAGTGGTTGTTGCACGCCACCATAATATCATTGTTGTTGCTATCGCGCTACGCTAGCGCTGTTGCTTTACTATCACCAAACAGCGACTAGTCGCTACCTTGCGCTTGAGTGAGTGACTTGTTCCACCTTCAACACGATATGAGGCGAGAAAAAAAATGCCCGCAAACAACCGTCAGCAACAGTTAGTTACCCACTTCCTCTGCCTGTCTGTCTACTAGTCTAACAGACAAACACACACAAACATACAGTGATGTGCTTGCAACCCACTCTGCCTGTTACCCAGCCAGCCCGACTGGTTGACGATTGGCTGTCAGTGTTAGGCGGCATTGTGTTGTCGTCGTTAAGTGGCAGAGTTGCCAATAAAAAACAAAGCAACTAAAAAATCACCGAAATGTGCAGTCGCATAAAAAATAGTTTATTCCCGTTAATAATTCAGCAATTTCTTGTTGCACACTCCACCTACAGCGCATTACCGTTGTTATTTGTTGTTGTTGTTTTTTATTTTCCGCTCGTTCGATGCATCACAAATTGGAAATTTATGAAAATGAGTTAGTTGCTCATTTTGCGCTTATAGTCTACTGTCTGCCAGGCTCTCGTTTCAGTTCGCGTTGCTGCTGTTGTTGCATGTGTATTGGATATTTTTTGCTAATTTTCATTTATATTGAAAGAGAAATTGATTTCTGATTTTTCGTTTACCGAAGTGGAGCAATTTGGGTTTCCTTGGTTTTTTTTTTGTTTTTGTTTTTTTGCATATTGGTCCCAGTGACCTGGAAAGCAGATAAGCCAATTTACAAAGTGGAAAAGTTAAATATTTATAATTCTTAGTAGGTGAAATGCATGTGGACGAGTTGCAAGCATTTGTGGTTCAAGTAGTTTGTATGTACAAAGAATGTTCAGCAGGGATTACAGCGCAAAAGTAGACTTAGGCCATTAAAGTAATTACGATGCAGTTTAAAGGCTTTTTAGGTTAGACTGAGAAATCGCATATGCTTGATCTAATGTTCTTGTAAGTCACAATTGATCAAAACGCATAATATCTTTGAGTTTCATAGGGGTGTAAGAGCAATTGATTCCGCTCTACTCTTAATCGAATAACTTGCTATGCTCTATAATATGAAAATTCCCAGAATCAACAAGGCTGGTAATAGTCTTTAGATTGCAAAAACCCGTTATCTTATTTGTAGCACTGTCGGTTTCTAGTGAAAAGTCTTTTTAGTAATAATCTTATTGAAAAAAGCACTCTACTCTCACTTCCATAACTTATAACCAAACAATTTTAGTAGCTTCAATATTGGCCAGCACCGAAACTATAATTCTCTTCACAAATACAAAAATTTTCCATACAAGTACTGTATTTTGCGCGATCAGTTTGTACGGCAGCTATATGCTATAGTGGTCAGATATCGGTGGCTCCGACTTATGAGCAACTTCTTGGGGAAAAAGGACGGAGGCAATATTTCAGATCGATATCTTGAAAACTGAGGGATTAGTTCACATATACACACACAGATGGATTGACCGACAGACGTATATGGCTAAATCGACTCAGCTTATCAGCCTGATCACTTATATACATATGTATTTTTGAGGGTCTCCGAGGTTTCCTTCTGGGCAAATTTAAAATACCTTGTTCAGGGTAAAGAAAAAAATTTGATATAATTGTGTAATCTGTCTTCGGTAACATGCATAGTACTTTGGAAAATATTTACTTAGGGCTTAATAGTTATGAGAAGAATTATCGAAGAACCCTTTAACAAAATAAGGTTAGAGTGTTATTTATTAAATAAAACATTAAACCTGTTGAGAAATTTAGATGTGCGTGCGTGACGAGCGAAATCGATTTTTACTATCCTCTAACAGGCTTTGACACAAAATA